ACCATCGGGGTGAAAACCAAAATTTTTTTCGGGGAGAAAAAATTATATATGTATTTTGTACATATTAGTAGACTCCAAAATAGATTAAACAAGCCCTTAAAACTCCTAAATTATCATATAGTTTTTCGGGAGCTTCGTCCCCCATGGAACACTTTTTCGGGAGATTTTGAAGATTTTTTTCATTGAGCAAATCCTGGCACCATCACTGACCTCAGCTCTACCATGGTTGGCACTGAGGTAAAAAAAGTTACAGTTCTGGCATCTCTAGCTGACGGCCAGAACAATGACACTCTTGAGACTCTCTTTTTACTTGTATGTTAATGTAATGGGAGGGGGGATGAGAAGGGGTATATACACATCTAGATGGGTGGGAAGGGGATGATGGGGGTGCGAAGTTGAAGTGGTAAGGGTGGCTCGATGATAAACTAAGGGGGTGTTAAATAACAAAATAAGGTGATTTGAGGTGATTTTGAACTACTTGAGTGTGATCTATTTTTTGGTAGGACGCGAGTATTTTTGTTTTATGAGGACCTGCGCCCCTTCCTACAACCCGCACCTTCTAGATACACCACTGCATCCATGTTATCTTTATATGATGTATTCATATTAAAATTAATAATATTATTATCAATATTGTAATAATTTTTTAATAATGACAATGATAATGGTGTATAACAATTGGCTAAATTAGCATGTTAAATGAAACAATATAAAATAAAAGTTAACACCCTCATCTTACATCTTTATTTTTATAAAATTGTTCACCTACAAGTACTTCTCTTTTGGCATGCAAGAACATAAAGTTAGTGGGAGAAGCAAAAAAGTAACAAGGAACCAACAAAAAGTGATTCATTCATTTTCAATATTTTACAATAATTGTCTTACAATTTTAAACTACAAAGTACAAACACAGACACAACCACTAGCAACAAACAATAACGGTTGCTTTGTCACCAAAATCGCATAAACAATTCATTAAACAGTTCAAACGCATCACGGATCAGTTCAAACGTTTCATGAACCAATTTAAATGTATTTAAGACTGACTACCTATCCTATGATGTAGGCTAGCAGCAAGTTTGTTTTTCTATGTACAGTACACGATTGTTACAATAATTATAATGTCAGGAATATTTTTTTCCAGTCTCACTCGCATGTCATAATATGTGCACAATTAAACCAGGCCAGAATTATGATTATATCTTATAGTCCTATTTTTCTTGTCCTAATGGCTATAGTACTTGGTCATCTGCCCACCCTGTTACCATACAGTGATAATGCAATAACTACTGCTGATGCTAAGATAAATGTATTATGGTTTTATATACTGAAATACCAAAATACAGATACCACAGTTCTCATCACATTATTCCTTATTTCTTCTCATCAAGAAGACATTAAAATGTAGAGCAATAAAGAAACCAGCAAACAACAACATTGATGCATTGGAAATAACTTAACTGCTTAATAAAATCAATAATAAACAAACATTACAACAAATAATATACATTACAAAAGTATATAGTTGTATAAGTATCTTTGGAAATATCTCTTCTTAAATATAATGAGGGTAAAATTAAAGCTTAAATCAATTTCTATCTAATAAAAAAAAACACAATCTGGAAAAGCATATTTGCAGATACAAACTAAAGTGCTGGACGCCTTGTCCAAAAGGTGAATTCGTACGTTACACAGAGTATGCTTAACATAATTTGTTGCAAGCTGCTTCCAATCAATGCAACAGTTCAATTTATCAGTTAATTAAAATTTCATTAGATTGTTAAAGGGCAAGGGTCACAGACTGATCACTCTGTAAGCAGCATCACCACATATCTTAAGTAAATAAATACATAATATTATCTCATAATAATATCATTTTCATAACCAACCAATATTCATAGCCAACCCCAAATAGGATTTCAGAATTACTCCGATTAAAATAAATAAAACGTTAATAACTAATGTCAATACTTTTTTCAAATGTAATAACAAAATTTAAAATATTTGCATTAAAAAGTTAAAATCAAGTTGATAAACTACTGGTGGGGAATCATTTTATTTGGAATTACATATACATTTACAAAAAGTCACAAAATCTCTGTAAAGTCTAGAAATAGTCCAAGAACATATCAACAATATTATTAACAAAATGAAATAATAATAATAATAATAATAATAATAATAATAATAATAATAATAATAATGTTAATAATCATAATCAATGATATTGATAATAGAATGAAATGACATTGTTAATTTTATAATTTATCATAATGCTGGAAAAAGTCAGAATGTCATTTTTTCAGATGGAACAAATTGTTAATGTAGATTATTTTTTTTAACTATTTATTTCATTTAGGGATTTTTTTATTTAGAAAATCAAATATAAATACCTAATTACATTGGAATGTTCAAAAATTTAATTCAGGGGTTCATTATGTCTCTTGGGAGCTATCTTCCCGAAGACTTACAATATTTATTCATAGGGTAGCTAATGGTCCTCTTCTCATTATTCTCAGGCCACTACTCAAATAGTTTATGGCTTTAGGTTACAAAATCAAAAATTATCCGATACAAAAATTACAATTTGGCAGTGCACAGTACACAAATCATTAGAAATGCTGCGAATCTATGAGTGTAGTACTGACCTAGATGAACTAACAATTGCCAACATTACTCAAACCACTCAAAAATACTTATAGACCTACTGCGCCAAACAATTGCTATGTGTCAAATACAATTGTCAGTATATCTAGATAAGTATTCACTAAAAAGAATGATTTTAAAAACAGAATTTTCAATTTGTTTGATACATGAGCGAGTGAATATTTTCACAATTTAAAAAAATTTCCCCTTATATTTCTTTTCATAACTTAAAAATTGATTGTTTTTGTTTCCAGAATTTTGGCCAAATGGAATGCATTAAAACAAAATTTCAATGCAATTGGAATTGAAGAT